TACAGTCAAGCGCATTATTCGTTATGTCAATAGTACATTGAATTATGGATTGCGTTATTCTTTTAATTTAACTCTGAGATTATAGGCTATACTGATGTTGATTGGGCTAGTAACAAGGATGATAGAAAGAGTACTTCAGGTGGTTGTTTCTATATTGGTATTAACCTTGTTTCATGGTACAACAAGAAGCAAAATTGCATATCTTTATTATTTTGTGAGGCTGAATACATTGCTGCTAGAAGTTGTTGCACACAATTGCTTTGGATGAAATAGATACTTCTGGAATATAGAGTTGATCAAGGTACTATTGTTATCTTTTATAATAATACTAGCACAATTAATATTTCAAAGAATCCAGTTTTTTATTCTAGGAATAAGCACATTGACATTTGACATCACTTTCTTAGGGAACTTGTTGAACAAAATGTCGTATCTTTGAAAAAAGTGCATATTAATCAGAATTTGTCTGATATTCTCACTAAGCCATTAGATGCTCCTAAGTTTTCTCATCTTAGGAAATCTATAGGCGTCTGTTGTCTTGATTAGATGCATTGTAAGGACATAATCTAGAAAGGATTTTCATATGTATTTTGAGAAACAAACCATATTGATTGAGTATATTGAACACAAGGAGTTTAATGACACATGGATTATTTGTGTAAAACAACCTATGGCTATGAATTAATGAAATTGGTTTTACTTACTTGTTTCGTATAGTAAATAGATCATTGATAGTACATTTACTTGTATTTGATGTCATTGTTTTGGTTAAAGATAATGTTGACATGATTGATTATTGTTTTGGAATTTAAACTCGCTTTTTCTTTTTTTTTTTTTTTTTTTTTTTTTTTTTTTTTTTTCACATGAAAATATTTGTTGTTTTGGAAAAAAAAAGGTGAGGTTTGGAAAAGGCTACCTTTGGAAATTGTCCGAAGCTACCTTGACTCGAAACAAATGGGAATAAGGGAAAGAGCTGGCTGCCTATAAGTATGAAAGCCGCCAATGTGTAAAAAGAAAAATGGAGCATAAAGAGAGAAAAAAATAATAGACTTTTGCACATGTTGATTGTTTGATTTCTAAGGATATGTGATATCATTAATTTATTATCTGAAATCGAAATAATTGATAGATTATTTATTTTTGGAACTTGGTGCTGATTTTACTACACTTACTAAGTTTATGAAACTTAAATAAATTTATCTTGGTTATTTGTGTTAATACATATAGTTTTGTAGAGTCTACATTCTCGTTGGATTCAATTTATGATTTCTATATGGTTGGTTGCTTCCTAATTCTAGAATATTTATTCCTTTAGACCCTTATTAATTTGTGACAAAAAGAGGGAGAAAATTGAGAGTCTTATCATTTAGAAGGAGGACTTATCATTCAGGGGGAGATATATATATATATTGCATTGAGGGGGAGAACTACATTTGATTATTGCAATTCTATTGCGTTGGTTTTCAGGCATATATATAGCAATGCTAACATGTTTAGGCACTATTTTCTATTTTATGCTTGTTTTATTTTATTGATTAAGCTTCACGACATTTGATCATTGCAATTATGTTGCATTGGTTTTCAGGCATATATATAGTAATGTTAATATGTTCAGGCATTATTTTCTATTTTATGCTTGTTTTATTTTCTTGATTAAGCTTCACAGGTAGTTGTGTTTAAGCTAATGTGCAGATTGCAGGTTGCTATAAGTGTTGAAGCTTCACGAGGTTCAAGAAAAAATTTCGCGGTTTATTCCTTCAACAATCATTGTAATTTGCTTTTTTTGTTTAAGTAGATTACTTGTTGTTTTTTAGGGTTTTGTCACGAAATTGACAAAGAGGGAGAATGTGAGATATATATTTTGTAATTGGTTAATTTCGTTGTCAAAACAAGTCCGATCGAGTTGTAATTTTTCAATTTAAGATTTCGAGATTGAAGATCAGATGCGGATTTAAAGAAGTTCAAGTGTTCATGGTTTACTACACTCCGGGATAATGAGAACAATGCTTTAGAAAGGTATGTGAGTGAGTGAAAACATTTAGGAAGTGTTAGAAGTTTGAAGTGTTTAGGAAGTTTACATTCTGTCCATTGGGTACTGGTAGCCAAATCTAGTACTGGTAGCCAAATAGCAGTTTCACTTTTGTCCATTGGGAACGGGTAGCCAAAGTACGTCGGATTAGGTTATGTCCATTTGAAATAGGTAGCCAAATTCAGTACCAGTTTAAGTCTGCTGAGCATGTTAGGTAACTTTAGTTTCCTATTCTATTTTGAATCATTTTTGGTAGACTTCTTTCCATAACCTATGCATGAATTCTACTTATTTTACAAGTATGATTAGGTCTTCCAAACTTCTATATAATGCCTCATTCATTCATTATTAAGGTATAGCTTTGAGGAACATCAATTCAATATTTTGAGAAAGCCTTTCGAGAAATATTATTCTAGAAAATCAAATCTGATTATTCTGAATTTATTTTTGCAACCACACACATTTATTCATGAGTGATTTAGTAATGTTATTCTCTATCTCATCAGAATTGGAGCTTAATTAAAGATTTAGAGATTCTGGAAAAAGCAGGATTTATTTCTTCTACATCGAGTTCAGATCTTGAATAATAGAAGTAAAAGCGATCACACTTTGGAAGAGTCAAAGCATTCGTGGAGTGTTGATTGATTTACCTGCAACTCTTCTATAGAGATAAACTACAATCGAAAGGTCAAGTGTTGTTGGACGGGACGTCGCAAAGTTATAAGATTGTCAGCTATTGGTATTTGGTAGAACGATAGGGTGTGAGTCAAAGTCAAAGTTCAGTGTACTTTGTTTTAAACATAATGGATCGGTTTACTTTGGACTGCACAGTCCATAAGGTTTTTCCCACGCAAACAATTGATTTATTTTATCAGCTAGGGTTTACTCGCTAAAAATCCTGATGCAATCTCTCTAATTTTACTTGCTTTAGTTTTCAGTATTTATATTTGTGATTGTAGATGGTTTATTGATTAGATAATTTAATCAATCATAAAATGAGCAAGTTGACCTAATAATCAGATCTAGGTCATTAAAGGACTGAATCATAATTTAAATTAACTAATAGCTTCTGCATCCCGCGTTAAACTTGTTTTCACATTGAATTCTTCCAAGTGTCAGCCGAAATATTGCACAATTGTCATTTCTCGGACCACACAAGTATTTGGCTTTCATTTACCTTTGGCAAATGCAATGTGTCACCGCATTATTGGACCATAATTTGGTCCGCTTGTCTCTCTTTCATTTGTCTATGTGGATGTCAAAGTGGCTGCCACTTTTGTATGTCAATACAGAGAATGGTAAGCGATGATTTAGGAAAAAAGAAAAAGAAAAAAATAATTAAATTGGATGGAGGAAAGAAAGTGACGTGATGGATAAGGCCTACAAGAGCGTGCCAAAATGAACTTTGACAATGAAAAAATAAAAATTTGTCGTCGTAACATTCATAATGCACACTTTGAAATTTGTTTATGACATGTAATTTTGTGATTTTTTAATCCGTTGAGCGTGGGCCTTTCCACTTGGCACCATCAGATCACTAAGCCGACTTTCGTCCTGACGAGTAGGTCTTATAGTGAAGCTCCTTTATGCCTTTACTCAATCTCGGTCCAGCCAGTAGATACCGTTTTATTCATTCGTCTACTTATCATTTCCTAATCCTAAAAAGTTCATTAAAGAAAGTTTCGTTTTATACATTCGTCTACTTATCATTTCCTAAAAAGTTCATTAAAGAAAGTTTCCATTTTTCTTTTCTTCTTTTTCTGTTAAATAAAAATTGTATAAATAAAATAAAAATAAAAAAGGAGAAGATTACACGTAGAAAAAGCCCAAACACCAGCATAAAGAAGCGTGGAGGAACTTTCAGCCACTACTCCATTTCAACTATTTCCATATGTTGCTTTCAATGTTTCTTTTTACCCAAAAATATCTCATGGACTAATGTGTGACACATGGCTTCATTAATCGTTAGCATTAATCATGTCATTTTATTATCCAAGTCGATTACAAAAACTGCAAGGTAGCAGGCAGGTATGGCCAGCATCAAATATACTTTGTTTGAAGGCTAGTGAACTGTTTTGATGGAAAGAAGAGGATAGATAGGGAAAAATAAATAAATAAAATAACTTTCATGTAAGTTGTTATAGATTATCCCTTCAACTTTTATTTAAAATATATAATTTATTAAACCATTAAGAAATGGCACAAATTACTCTCCCGTCCTTTGCAGTGCTTACGATTTTAAGTTTTAAATTTTGTGAAATATTCTTTTGAGAAATTTAGAATGAGTGACAATGATAAAGTTGTTCCATTGCAATTTAAAAATACCGAATTCGTAAAAAGTTTGTTAAATTAAGATAATCTCTGGAATTTGATTAGTCGTTTTTACTCTTTTTAATAAATTGCAAAAATTCTTTCTCACTTTTGTTTTTGTACATATCTCCCTTATATTATAAAAAAAAAAATGCTACAAATCACCACTTGAAAGTTGATAATTTCTTTTTATTATGCAGTTTACCTTAATTTTTTAATTAACTTTTTTTTTTTTTTAGGAGTAAATTGGTAAAGTAGACATATCTTCCCCTTCCTGGTTGTGGACCCTGTGAAGTGGCAACTAACAAAAAATAAGTGGCCTTGGCAGTATCATCTTAATATTGTAGGGCCAGGTATGCCATGCCCATTATGTTATGAAGGCTTGCATCTATCTTCTTGATGAAAAATTAAAAATTAAAAATTAAAAATTAAAAATTAAAAATTGCAATGAATCCAATGCTATATATGGTTAAACTCAACCGAACTCAATTAAACAAAACAAAATAAAAGTGGTTCAATAAAATCTATTTTTTTTTCTTCATAATATTCAGTTAATTTACGAATAGAGTCTTAGTCAAACCTCTTGTTAGAGAATTCCTCACTAAGTTTAGTCTAAACATTTTTAGAAAATTGTTGGAAATGTGTACTGAGAAGTTCATACCTGGTGATAATGGCAAGTATGAAGGTAAAAGCTGGGGTGAGATCAACCATGGCGGATGCCAAAGTTGGAGAGCTATACCGAATCCCTATATACATACAATTCTGCACAAAACAACTGACCCAAATTCATATGAGAACCATATTGTTAGTCATATATACCACTTTTAGCTATCCAAACTTTAATTAATAAAAAAAATATGAAAATACCTAAGGAGGCTAAGAAGAAAGATTCTCCACATGACAGACAAAGTGAGTTGTGGGCATGGTTTGATCCTGTAAATCGGTCAGAATTATACATATATACATAAATATGTGTGTGTGTGTGTGTGTGTGTGGGGTGAGTATATGGAGTAGATATGTTACATAGAGAGATCGACCTGTGAAAGATGAAGGTTGCAGGGAGGAGTAAGCAAAAGGCGAGGGCATTTGAGTAAACAACAAAGACGAAGTTGCTCATTCCTCTGCCCATTGCTGCTTTAGTTAAGGTGTTTAAACCAACCTCTAAGCATTCAGTTGTCACCATTACTACTATTATCCAAGCTGCCCACATTCTCTCACTCTCTCTCTCTCTTCTTGCAAATATCTAGCACATTGGTACACCATACATCTCAACGGGGTACGGTTTAATGACTCTCTTATCATGTTGCTAGACAGGGACATATTAGTAATTCAGAATTAAAACATTTTGTTTTTGGTGTGTCCAAATCTCAATTCTTAAATTAGGATTATTTGCTAATGGTTTTAATAATGGTTTTTAAAATTCTAGTAGGTCAGCAATTATGATTTAATTATTTGCTAGGATTTTAGTCAAGGAAAAAACATAGATATATCATAAGGGCGTGACTTTGGCTATACAATCCGATTGTTATTTTATTTTTTTATTTTTTGTTTTTAAAGGTGAATAAAAAATGATAATAAAAACCAATCACTTGTTGACATAATAAATAAAAAAAATCTCTTGAACTATGTAGTTCAAAGTAAACCGATTCACTATGCTTGAAACAAAGTATACTGAATTTTGACTCTGTCTCACACCCTATCGTTCTACCAAACACCAATTGCTGACAATCCTTTAGTTTTGCGACTCCCCGTCCAACAATAACTTGATCTCAGTCTTATACTTGATATTTATAGAAGAGTAGCAGGTAGATTAGACAACACTCCTCAAATGCTCCAACCCTTTCAAAGTGTGATCGCTTTTATTTCTGTTCTTCAATCGTCTGAATTCAATGTAGAAGTAGATTTGTTTTTGTCTAATCAATGTAGCTGCAACTGTATGATCACGATCACGATTTGAACACCATAACTCTAAAATCACTATGTGAATATGTGTGCGTGTTCTAGAAAGATAAACAGAAAATTCTCTAAGAATTTATGAAACAAAAGATCTTTCTAAAGCTTTTAAAAATGATAACTTGATAGTGCAAAAGCCGTGAATAAACCTATATGTATGACAAGGTTTATATAGAGGTTTACAAAGTCCTATTCCTTTTGAAAATAAAGGAAATTTCATGCATAGGACTTGAAAGGAAAGTTGGATAAAAATGGAATCAAACAAAACAAGGAAACTGAAAACTTGTTTATGTCAGGACTTTTGGAACCGGTTCTCAAATTTTGGTATCGGTTCCCAAAGGACAAAATGGAATTTCTAAAATTTCAACTTCTTGAACCGGTTCCCAAATTCATGTACCGGTTCCCACTTGATAGAATCCAATTTGAACTTGGAATTTCTGTTTTTGGAAACTCTAGAAATATCCCTTATAAGTATTTGTGTCCTAAGTGGGAAACAATATCCTAATGTGTTATTCTTTCCTTTTTGATGATCAATAGTATTTTCCTATTTTGAACAACCTTCCAATTCCGTAGTCAATATCGATCTGATATGGTAACTGAAATTACAACTCGACTAGGACTTGTTTTGTTATCAAAATATGCCAATTACAAAAAATATATCTAACAATCTTCCCCTTTGAAAATTTCGCGACAAAACCCTAAAAACAATTTAATAATCTACCTAAAGCAGAAAAGTAAGTTACAACTGTTTAAGAAAACGCGAAATTTTTTATCTCTGTTCTCTTCTTCTCCTGGACAAAATTTCATCTGAATACCTACACATGGATCAAACAAAACTACCAGTGAAAGTTTAATAAAACAAGTTAGAAACTCCCCCTGAATAAATTATCCAAATTTTTTTCAGAAAATCTAATTTCTCCCCCTTAATGTAACCTTGTTCTCCCTCTTAATGGAACAAAATTGACAAATAAATCAACAGAGCAAAGAAATAATGAGAGGTGAAACAGATAAACAGTTTATTACATGCCAACAATCACAAGATAATATCCCAAAAATATCAAGTTATGACAATGTAAAAATTGAACAAAAATATGATGCATGTATGATATGAACATAAAATCAAACATTAACATCTCCAGCAAACGGAACAGTAGTAGTCGGAATGTCCTCATCACCACCTTCAATGTCACTACCACTACCATCCTCATCATCTTTTTGCATCATTATTTGTCTCATCATCCTCATCTCTCTCATCCTCAGGAACAAGTGCCAGATCTGGAGGGGCTGGTCTGTAGACGTCCTCAGAAGTACTACCTGCCCTCTGCTCTCTAAGAAATCTAACCTCTGCCTGTAGATCAAGAACAACATCCATCATGGCCTTCTAATTATGAAGAATCAGTGAGTAGAGCAGATTAGCATCCTCTGTGGTGAAATTTCGTTTAGACGGAAAAATTAGAGTAATCTCAGGAAGAGATAACGAAGCAGCTGAACCCTTGTTAACCTTTCTAGGTGTAGCCCTGGCAGATTTAGACTTATTAAAATCTCTAACATCCATCTCAGATATAATCTCAATATGATGAGCTCGGGGTGGGAGTGGAATCTCAAACTACCGATACAGACCCATGATGATCATAGGGAATGGGGATGACTTCTTCTTGGTATTGTTCTTATAGTGTGCTACTATCAACTTATAGATAGAAGCAGCAAGATGTATCTATGCAACAATAGATAGAAGATATAATACCTCTGCATGATCTGAGGAGATAACGTCATTCTTCCCGAAGTAACCAAGATTGGAGATGGCAAACAAATTCAAAAACGCCGCCTCATCCGTGAGATAATGAGATGGTATATAATTAGGGTATCTCGGCGAGTCTGGAACACATGGTGCATTACAAATATCTTCCCACTTCAGTCCTGAATAATCAAGTGGAAAATAATACCCTATGCTTGTAAATCTCTTGGGTGTACTAAGAATTTTTCCAATTGCCTCTTCATCAACAACATAATCCTTGCCAAACAAGGAAATCTCAAAATATCCTGAATCATAGACTTTCCGAATATTAGAGTAAAAGTAATGTACCATGTTTGGACTGTAGGTACGCTCCATCCTCATGAAGAAAAGCCAATTGTGCTTCTCAATGTAGTCAACGAGCTTTTTCCCCGGACTCTCTTTGAGCTTCTTCAAGTTAACATTCCGTTCAGATTTTACTAGACCATATTTATACACTTTAGTATATACCTTCAACGCATATTGATGAGTGCTGAATATTGCATCTTCGAACCCCTAAATACGCATATGTTAAGACCTTAAGTAGTACTTCTATATAGTTTTAGACTTATTTATGTTTATTCCGTGTTTATAGGTACTTTCCTAAAGAAACGGCTAAAAATAGGATTTTATATGATGAAAAGATTGATATCGAAACTTACAGAGATGTTGTCAATCATCTGAAGCAAGTTTGGAGTCAAAATGATGAAAATTACGGATCTACTTTAGTATTTTGGGCATAACTTTTGACTCGAACTCCAAATTGAACAAACACAGAGGCTATGGAAAGAACATTTGAAGCGTGATGTTTTTATCTCTAATAGAAATTTCGAGATTCGCACTCCAAATATGTCAAAATTGCATTATAACTTCAAAAGAAGTTGCTGATAGAAAATCAACTAAGGCAACATAGCTCGAGCTTTGCTTGAAATCTCAAGCCCTGAGCCAAAAGCTCGAGCTCTAAACCTAGGGATCGAGCACCATGAAGAAAGGATTGAGCACTGTTAAAAGGAAAAACCCAAAAATATTCTACGTGTTTATGAAAAAGACGCTTTAGAAAATATTGGAAGAAATTTGGCTAAGTATAGAAGTAGGGATTGAGCACCATTCCTGAAAGCTTGAGCTCTGTCCTGAAAGCTCGTGCTCTGTGCCAAAAAGCTTGAGCTTTGCCTGGAAGCTCGAGCCCTGTCCTAAAAGCTCGAGCTATGCTGTTAAGTTAGAATTTAAAGCTACGGGATTTGTTCTAATTCAGTCACACTTCATCCCAGATGGGCCCAGATTACCCCAGAAGACCTAAAAGCCCATTCAACCCTTATTAGATGTTAATTCTTCTATAAAAGGAGGCACAAAGCCATCATATCTTTGGGGCTCTCTCATATATCTCTCTCTCACGGCGGCTTTTAGGGTTTTGAAGAAGAAGATCCAAAAGAGTTTTTGGTGGTCCATGGAGATGGTGTCTATAACATAATAAAGACATCTTTCCTCTCCATGAGTAGCTAAACTCCATCTTAGGGCATTGACGTAACCCGATCCAAGTATTATGGTTTGATTGTTTATACTTTGGGAATTTAATAATTTATATACTTTGATTACATGATTTTGAGCAATTGAGCCAACTCAATTGGTGTTTCAATGAATTAATAGTTTTTGAATAGTTATGACCTTGTCTTAGATATAACTGCTCATAAATTATTCTCAACCCATTCTTATTGGACGATATCTAGCGGAGCCCTGTCGGACATAAAAATGGAGATCATGTAATGGTGTTAAAACATTTTTCTTGAATGAACTCTTTCATAATCTATGTTTAGGGAAGACGAGTTATACTACAACATTAGTATAGGCGAACTTGGTTCATCCCTTGAAGCATGTGAACCCTCTTATGGTTCCTGGATGGCAATAGTCGTTCGGGCTCTCTTGGGAGGTGGAGGGGTAGCAATTCCCTTTCCTTTGGTCTTCCGAGACAATTTTGGTTTGAAGCCCCAAACTTCACTTGGTAATTTTGTCGAACACTTGGAGTGCTCTTCAACACTTGTTCTTGAACAATGTTGGTTTGAATCTTCAAAACCCCCAACAATCAACACCATATCAAAACAAACAAAGCTTCAATCACAACCCAAACAAGTCTCAATCTCTTTAGTCACCCAAAAGATTAATATCTTAATCAATCCTCTAATTTTCTCAAAATTCCAAACTCCACAAATTCTCATCAAATTCCAAGCTTTAATCTTCAATTCTTGATGTTTATACAAAAATCACGATATATGATTGAACGTATGGACCAATATTATGAGAATAATGCACTTGAAGATGTGAATATATGTGAGCAATACAGAGAGAGAAAGTGGGTATTCTAGAGAGAGAATGGGTTATGCAATATGACCCAACAATGTGCAAAAAGGAAGCTTTAAAGCTCTTTTACGCTGCTAGGAAGCGGTAACCCATTTGGGAACCAGTTCCCATAAGGCAGTGTTGCCTTGGAGAATGGTTAAACCTGTTTAACCAGTACCAAACTTATGGTACTGGTAGCCAAGTGCTAGAATGATTGGCT